AAGACTATTCATAGCTGTGAAGACAATGTGGTTCTGAATCAAAGTTTGTCAGTTCTGCTTTCCTCCCTCGAGACTTGCTGGAGTCCCTTCACATTTGCTTTATCCCCTGGGATTCCATGGTAATCTGGCAGCTGGATTCATGTCTCTTTTTATTTGTATTTCTGGTAGTTGTTCTTCAGTGCAAGAGTCTTCAAAAACATGTGTTGTTTCCATACCCTGAAGAGCACGAACCCCCTGGGGATTTGCACGTGTATGAAATGAAACTCTCCCTGCACTGAAGCTGAAGAGGCTTTTGGCCTTAGGTGGTAGAATGGTTATGTACCAGAAGTCTTCTGTAGTGTGTAGCCATCAGTTGCTAATTCCTGAACATCTGAGATGGAAATGAAGATAAAACATTGATATTGTGCAGTTTTAATGGGAAGGTCCATGCTGCCTCTTGTGAGCAGCTGCAGAAGGGTTCAGGTTCACAGGGCAATTCAAGTAAATTACTACTGTGCTTTCCCTTTTCCCCACTGAGATTTACATTCTTTTTAATCTCTTTTTCTATTTTTTTTAAAGTCTAATTTCAATAATTTGAAAATGTTCGAATTGTTCCCATTTTGTTCCTTTGCTATGGAAAACAACACCACCACTGCAATTTAGTCCTTTTATTCTCAAATACAATTTATTTTGTAACTCTATTTAAAAGGCATTGGCAAAACACCTGACTCTTTAGTTTAGCAATACTTGTTGCCAAGCATGTGCTGCTGCTTTGGCTTCGTGTTTGTTATCTGATGCCTTGGTCATCCTACAAAAAGTATTGCATCTGTTCAGTTCTGGCTGAGATTGTTCATTTCCTTCTATTCACATGCTGACTTTTCAAGTCTTAACATATTGTTTGCTTTGTTGCTTTTTAACTCACAGCCCTGTTTATAACTGGAAGGCATGTAAGGTTTCCTGAGAAGAGTTGTGCAGTGAAACAAAGTACTCCTGTTTCTGAAGGTGTGGAAAGTATTCTTCAGCCATTATGTGCCTAATGCTGAGGAAATAATACTATTAATGTGCCTAAACTGGTCCTTTTAATGTTAGTGGGAATATTAGAATTTGCATCCAAGACAGGCATAAGTTTTCTGATAGGTGAAGAGAAAGACAATTTTCTGATGGTGTTACTTCATGCTGTTGTTTCCTTATTTCTGTGTTCCCCAAGGAAAATGTACACTATTTTCTGAAGTAACCATGCATTTACCAAACAGTTTTTTTGGCCTCTGGCCAAAAGGCCTTGCTTTGTTTTATCAGCTTTTGAAGTTTTCTATTCTTTGTTATTATCACTTTATTTGTCAACGTAGCAAGTAGCAGCATCCTTACACTTGATTTCTGGATGTTTGGAGCAATGTTTGGAGTGTGAAAGGAAAGTCTGATGAAGAATTTAAAGCAGACTGCTCAGTCCCTAGGCAGGTCAGAGAGGGATCACGTTAGTCTGTCCTTTGTCATGAAAAGGAGCTAACCAGGTCATCTGGCCAAAAAGCTTGATCACTGCTGATTTAAAGTGCTATGGTCTTCCTATTCCCTATCTTAGTAACACCTTTTGAAGGAAGTTGGGGTCAGCAAAGAGAGAAAAATGATATAAAAGGTTTGCATTCTGGCTTCACACTATATGTCCTTCTCTAATATTTGCTTCAAATATACAAAGAAACACCAATGTTTAAAAATACTTACCCACTACGTCCTCCTCTGAGGCTGTGCAAATAAGCAGCAAGACACTAACACTCACAGTACAATGAACAAAAGTGTTTGTTTAACAAGTTGCAAGTGCAAACTAGAAAATAAAAATCAAAAATATCAACTGATGAGCACAGAATGTTTTTTTTCTGGATAATCTTGTGCTATTTGTAATAGTGGTTTGAAAAAAGAAGGCTTTTAAAATTGTACATGTTTGAAAGAAGTTATGCAGAAAAAGAGCAGCTGTTACTGGAAGTTATAGTTAATTGTTGTATTTTCCAGAACAAGGTTGTTTGGTGGGAATAGCAGGGAAAAAATATGCAAGCGACTGCCAAAAAAACAAGCTTGTGAGGTGAAACTTGAATTTGCTCTCATGAGAACTTTCTAAGATTTGTAAGTAACTGAGAAAAGCATGCTGTATTTAAATCTCTGGAGATGTATTGTGTTGTATAGAGACAGAGCACAGCACACAGTGTTGGCAGAAGGAAAGGAGAACAGAAATTCCATCAGAAAGAGTGATAGGAAGGTAAGACTCAGTCAGGGTGGAAGGAGGATAAAATACCTACTGCCACTTCAAATTGGGTGGTGGGGTTTTTTTCATTTAGTGGCTCCCTGAGTAAATTTGAAACACCTAACCTTTCCCTCTCTCCCACAGAACAGGTTTTCATGTGCTTTTTAAACCAAGTAAGCAGAGCATGTCCCTGTTACAAATCTGTAGAGAAGAAGATGGATAAATTAGCTGGGCATGTTTTGTAAGCCCTGTAGGCCACATCTGATATGATATCTGCATGCCTAAAAGCAGTGTCTGAAGAGGGGCTTAAACAAAGTATTCCAGTGAGTTCTGCCTATTGTTAGAGCAGTGGGAAAGCTGAGGGGGGGAAGTGCCCCTGGGCAGGCTGCAGGCAGGCAGGAGGAAGGGTTGGGGGCAGGAGGCCTCGTTTGGCGGGTGCGTTGTTGGGCGGGTGCCTTCTGGCCTGGCAGTGACCATCACTCCCAGGTGAGCATTCCCTGCTCTGGCACTGCCTCTGACCCATGGAATCTGCCACAGGGGCTGCACTCTGGGAATACAGCTTGTTAGTCAGCCTGTTCTTCCTGCACAAGGCTATAAAACATTGTAGGTCATAACAGGCAGCTATTTATTTCTTAATATGTCCTCAGGTGCCAGAGGGGAGATATTTTTTTTTTTTTAATAAAAATAAAACCAGCACTGGAATGCATTTATTAGGGTTTGACTATATTTATTTTGAACTACAATGCATTCATCCAGATCCACATATTTATTTTGAACCACAATACTTTCATCCAGATCCACAGACAAAGCTCCAAGAAAGTACAGTTTCCACTATACTCTGAGCTCAATTCTCTGATCATTTATCCTTGCCTGTATTGCCACCTGTTGTGAATAATTCCACTGGCTTCTATGAAACAACAAGCAGTAGCCAATCTTTAGCCCAGTACTGTTTGCAGGATCACTCTCCATATTACTGTAGTACTAAGTTTAGCTCTAAGGAATAAACACATTTTTCTTGTTGCCAACTGCACTATATTAATTTAACATGTGTGACCACTGAATATCAGTTGATATTAGAAAATTGCATCATTCATGCAAATTCAAAATACTTTTTTGGGTTTTTTTAATAAAACAGATAATTTCTAAGTTAGTTTATGGAATGAGGTGAATATTATTCTGGTACTGGATATTAGATGAATATTATTCTGGACCTGGTTCTGTAGTTAAGACTAAGGAAGAGGTTGTCCCAAAAGCAGGAATTCATTCTTAGACTCAGAAATTTAAGTTATGTCACATCTGAGACAGTTCTACAACAACTTGTTCCTAAATGAAATTCTGGCTTTTGTGAAGTCAGTATGAACTGTGGAATTAGTACAAGGTGTTCTCAAAGAATTTACAAAAATATTGAATTATTAATTGACGTTTAAATCTTGTAAGTTTATCACTTACACCGAAATTCTGTGCATAGGAATGGTATAAGTAGGAGAAACAAGATTTCATGCTGATTTACAGCTGGAACCTCTTGTGATCAAAAGGATTTTGAGAAAGTGTACAACTTTAAGTACCTTGGCCAATGCATAGGCACACACCAAGTGTGGGCTGGTCACTCAGTAGTTTGTATAAATAAACTCTCCTTCTCACATTCCTGACCTGTATTCTGCTTTTACCTGTTTTTTCCATGATGTACTAAAGGAAGAACTATCAGGAGGGGTATGGAGCCTACCGACTGTGCAAAATTCTAACACAGTAAGCCATAACTTGTCCCTAACATTCTGGAAAAAATTGTTTATTTGTGGTTAATTAGCTGCCTATTTTTATTTTCTGTACAGATATTTCATGCTAGATGTTGGCATCAGTGGAAGAGTAAGCACCTTTCAGACCTAGGGGCAGCCTTCAGGCTGTTTCTGCCTCCACAAGAGCTCTCCAGACTGAGATGGCTGGCAACCACCTTGGAGTGTCCTACCCTAGGTATCACCAAAGGGTGAGAGACAGCTCTCACTTTAGGTGGGAGGGCAGAGGAGTGATCAATCTGCAATTGCTTTTACACCCCATCTTGTTTTATGTAGTGCAATTTATCCATATACAGGACAGATGATGTAGTTTCGTCTGTGCTGCCAAGAAAAGGTCTACACTTAGGTCTAATTTTCACATTGTACTCTTGATTCTTCTCTGCTCAGGTTGAGGACTGTTTCTGTAAACCCTCTTGTTACTGAAACTCTTCAGTCAGCGATACAATGATACAATCCAACGTGGATGGGTACAGCTAGAGCCGAGTTTAACTCACGGCAGGAAAACTCTGAACTGAATCAGCATTTTGCACAGGCTTGATGTATCTCCGGGCAACCTGAGTTCATTACTGTTATGTAAGTTTTCTTAAAAACATTATTAAAATTAGAATTATACTGCCTCAAGTATACTGCAATATCTGACTCTGAGCTGCATCAAGCAAAGCTTTGCTTGACCTGTGGTTTCTGTCCCTTTGCTCCCATGACTTGGGCGTGGTGCCCCAGGGAGTGTGGGCGAAGACGTGCAGTGACACAGGCTTGATCTGCCCAAATGCTGAGGCAGGTTCTGACCACAGTGTTTCTAAACCTCTTCAGTGGATACCTCACCAAAGTGCACAGGCTAACGGTGGTAACACAAAGGGTTCCTCACTTGAGAAGTGAAATTAGGAATGCAGCATGAAATTTTAGGGAGCAGGGTTGTAGGAATCCAAAGGGAAGAGCACCCTGGAAATGAGTGCATTAAACTAGTACCCTAAAGTTTTACCATGAAAATAGCTACAGAGCACTGCTGAACAGGATGTCTGTTTATTCATGATCACCACCACCAAGCAGGTATAGATGTATACATATTAGAAATGAACTTTGATTTAATTGAATACATTCAATTCACAAGGATTAAGCAGAAATAATTTCATTTTCAAGGCTGGATATTTAGGAAGTGGTGTATGTCCAACCACTTAGCGAGAGAGAACCCAAACTTCAGAACTCTAATGTGGATCTGGCCTTCCTTGGGGAATTTAGATCTAGGACTAGGTCTGAGACCAGTTTCTATTTTTAATTACTTCTACCAAATTAAAAATTACTCCCACAATGCAGACAAAATCCCCCTGTGTAAATCAGCAGCAGCAGGACTCTATAAAGCTCATCCAGACATGGGCCTTGTGCTGACCTCTGCACAGAGTAAGCCTCTGTTGCTGGGTCATCTCCACAGGAATGAATTTTATCCAGAAAGCACAGCAGAATAGGTTCAGATTAATATTCTATGCTAGGCTTTTAATATTGGGTAGCTTAAAGGTCAAGTAAATAGTCTAAAAATATCTGAACATTACTGCCATGAAGAAGTTACAGCTTTGCCTCTTTGGCGTTTATCTTGTAACACACAGTTTTTACCTTTTGTTATCATATTCTGAGTTACTGAGCTTCACCACTGCTGAGTTGATTCCTTGCTGTTCAATAATGGCTCCATAAAAATTTACTAAGTTATCCAAAACTGTTTCATTTGACATTTAGGCAATTTGAGTATTGTTTTTAATGTTCAGGCAAGCCATTCTTAAGAAGTGAGCAATGCCCTTGCACATTAATTCAGCACTGAATCAATTAACTAGCAATGCATGCAGTTTCGTATCAATATCTCATCTATTTTCAGTTAATTAGGCAACATGATTAGGATCATATGTGTTGAATTAACAGGTCAGTGCATCATTTCACTACAAGTGCATCTAGGGGATAACTTGATCTGAAAGCCCTATGAAAAGAACAACAATTTACCCTTCTCATACCTAAATTCCCAGTTTTGAATGTGATCAGCCCAAAGTTTTATGGAAAGAGTTCAATTTTGAGTTCTAAGTAGAATCTGTGCTTTGAAAGGTAAATTTTTAATTGAGGCATACACGTTTTATAAAATGGTCCAAACAACCATTTGCACAAAAACTGCACAACAAAATGACAGAGAAAATTCTTCCTTTCTTACTCCATATTAGTCAGTTCATACTTGTCACGCACTTCGTTTTCTCCTCCTGACTGAGGATCTGAGTGATGCATTTCAATAAAAATAATATAGGTCATTGCTCCAACTACACCTCCCAGCAGAGGTGCAACTATAGGGACCCACCACCAATTATTACCAGCCCTGTAAGAGAAAAAAGAACATTAATTACTGTTATTTGCTACTCCAGAGAACACCTTACTGTACATTTGCCAGTGAACAGATACAGTGGTGTGACACTCACCACAGCATAGAACTTTCCATTTTGTCTCACATTTTCTGTAAATGGATAACACCCCTGTTTGCCCTGCCCAGGCTGTGACTGGAATGCTAAGTTGGTCAGGTTGCACCTTAGAAAATAAGGCATTTTTACTGCATATCTGTTTAGGGACAGAGGATAATTTCTCTGTTGTGGAAAGTGGGCTTCACTGACTTACAATGAAATGAACAGGGACATATTTATTGCCCAGCAGTTTTGACTGGTGCTGTCACCAGATGCTTGTAAATAGGTTGTCAGGAGTAATCAAGGCAAATGAATGTTACAAAAATAGGTTATCTCATCCACAGGGAAAGTTGCAGGTTCATGCTGGTAATGGTATATATGGTGCGTCTCTTGATATGTGTAATAGATCATACTTGCTTTTGATTATATTTTCCTTAAGGACTGTAATAGAACACAGAGACTGTAAAGTGGATTATCTTTGACTGGAGTGGTCCAGATTTAAATTTCATGATGTAGTATCTTATCTCTGTGTTTAAAATGTAATATCTTTTGGTAAGAGGTAAATAGGCATTCAGAGGTTTTATACACCTAAAAATCTTGCTTAGAATTTCTGTATTCACTAAGAAAATCTGGCAAGTTGGCTCCACTGAAATGTTTACATTCACTTTGCAAAATTACTAGGCTTTAATTTAAAATATGTAGAATTATGAAGACTTTTAAAGTAAGGAGTCCACCATTGAACTGTATCAAACTATAACAACTTCTTATGCTTGAAAATAGGGCTGGTAGAATTGCTCTCCCTTTCCTGGACGTCCACATTCAGACAGTAAATAACAGAGTACTGGGTTCAGAGCACAGACTCTAAAATATACTGATGCATTAAGGTGTTTTGATTGGATAACATGCTGTATTAATTGAATATATGAGTCTCCAGTGAAAATCCAGCTACCTCAATTTCATGCATATTGAAAATGGAGATTTTTTTTCCCCCCCAGAAATACAAAGGGACAAATTAATCTACGAGAAGAACTTTACAGAAAGCTGCAGGGGAAATTTTAAACTATAAGGATAATTATTCACTACTCAGTTGTGTAGATTTATGCAGAAGTGAACTTGTGGTTCAGTCAAAATGCAAGAATAGATCTGGGCAAATATCAGTGTCCTATTGATGATGATATTATTATTCCTTGTTCAGAAATGCCTTGGATATGTATGTTTTACTTTTGGAGTTATTTATATTTTGCCCTGAGGATATAAGACAACTCCTGATATTGTTCTATTGCCTTTATAAATCTGTTTGTTGTTGAATCACGAATGTCTGTTAAGCCCTTGAATTTCTGGAACAAGCATGGACTAAGGCTTTATTGACTTAATCAGCACATCAAAATCTACATCAAGTAGTTGCACGTATTCTTCTGTGTGAAGTGTGTGTACATGGGCATGGAAAAAAGGTGTTTCTTGGCAGGTTTCTCTCTTGGCTTGTTCCACGAACTGGCATGTGCCTCATCAGCTTCCACATGACCTTCTCCAAATCATGGCCTGTATTCACAGCAGCTGCTGTCAACTCTGCTTTAGACACCCTCTGCTAAGGTTCTGAGCATAAAACCTTTATAGAAGGTGCTGCCAAAACTGAAACAAGGTCGGGGCACAGCCACCTTAAAAGTTTCCACGACAATCCTGGTGTTAGCGCAGCAGCAAGAACTCTCTATGACAAGCCCAGATAGCTTCACTGAAGGACCCTTAGTGCCCTGATGCCCTGGCTTTACCCCAGTGCACAGCCTCACTGCCAAGCTGGCAGGAGAGCACCAGCTGTGCCTGAGTGATCCCCCGGTGTTCTTGCTGCTGGGTGGGGTGGGAGGTGCTGAAAGGGGAAGGCAGCACGTGGACCTGTCCAGTGGCACTTTGCCCAACTGTGAAAATTTCCAGGAAATACAGTGTATACGTGGACTGGGAACTTTGGCCTGCTTTAGACTTGCAGATACACTTCTCCCTGGCCCTGCTGCAGGACAGGGAACACCGGGGTAATCCGGGCTGCGGTGCTGCTCTCCAGGAAGAGTGCTCAGCCTTTCTGAGGTGGCTTTGCCACCCGAGCCCCTGCGCAGACAAGAGGTGCGTCTCCTGACTGCACTTTTCCAAAGTGCGGTTCAGTTCAGCCCGGGAGACTCGTCCTCTTTGCTGGCGACCACGAGGTGTCAGCGTTACCGCGCTGAGCCCGTACCGCCGCCGCTCACCGCGGCCAGACCCGCCGCAGGAGAACCCCAAACCAATCGGGGTGGAATACCCCAGTGATACCTTCTAATGCTGACACGAAATACTGCTCTGTACGGCCGTTTCTCTCTCCCTCTCTCGTTGCTGTTTCATGCTCTGCTTGTCAAAATCGAGCCTGGTAATCGTACTTGAAGATCCAGTTGTTTTCTCACTCCAGACAAAACTGTGGTCCCCAAAACTTTTCTTAAGGTTATGAGAATATTAAGCATGTGCTTAAGAAAGACTCCTGGTTGTCGTCATGGATTTAGGACTAATCATTAGAAACGTGAGTTCTCTAAAGTCAGCAGTTGTCCCCGGTGATGGGGACAGTGGACATCTGTTACACCTCCTCCCAACAGGTTGAGCAGCAGTTTGCAAGAGCAGGCTCTCTGCATTTATTGTGTACAAAGTCGTGCTGCACTGACACTACCTTTCCAGCTGGCTTGATTTTTGGGGAAGCTGCTCCCTCGGGTGTCTTTGTGCAAAATGTAGTAACAGCAACATTTAGAAAACCTCTGCTCAACTGCCTCTGAACAACTCCATGGTGCAACAGCAGAGTTCCCCTTCAGCCTACTTGCAGATCTCTGCCTGAATACATGAGAAAGCCAGAATTTACTAGACCTGCAAGCACAAAGAAGGGTAGAGGGAATGAACTAATTGTCTTGATGTTTAGAGCATTTGCTTGAGAACAGTGTAGAAAGTCTTGCTCATGTGTATCTGATCTATTCCGAAGTGAGGCTTTCCTAGTGGTTCCTGGCTGCTCTGTAGACAAAATTTGAACACTCATTGACCTGGGCAGAGAGTGACTCAGTTATCTTGGAAGATGCCTCCTCAATCCAAAGAATGTGCAATGTCTCCTCAGTATTTAGTGCTGCTCACTTTGTGCAGCACTCCCCTCATGTCACTGTGGAGGTTTCCAGATCCTGGCCATGCCTTTTCTAGGGAGCTTAAGCACCTGTGTGCCCTTGTTTTTTAAAAAAGTGCAGTCCAATGGTGCTGCTGGGGAGGAGAAGTTTGGAGGTAACTGAACTAGTGGCCTGACCTCCTGCCAGTGGCTCACCAGATCTGTGTTACATCCCAGCCTTGGCTCTGGCTTAAGCTGTGACCGTGTGCCTGTTTCATCTATGCCATACCTGGCTTTTTTTGTATGAGAAAAGCTTTGCTAGTGCTCTCTTCAAGTAGGCACATGATTTGTCTAGATAGAAATCGTAATAAATGCAGGTTATTTGTGCGTGGTGAAGTAGTTAAAATAAAATCTCTATTAACCAGAGCTCTTTAGTGGCCAACAGTATTTCTGGGGATTCCTCCTCGTAAATAATTGGAAAAACAAACAAAATAAAAATAAACCAAAAGATCTACTTCATGAAGACAAATCACTTTTACTTAAATACCCCAGAGTGCTTCTTGCACTGGATATGTGTAAGCTGTGGATTTGCTGTGAAACTAATCAGCTATGCGTTTGGTCAGCCACGAGCGTACGTGTGTGTGTGTGTGTGTGTGTGTGTCTGTGTGTGTGTGTGTGTCTGTGCGTGTATGTGTCTGTGTGTGTGTCTGTGTGTGTGTGTGTCTGCGTGTGTGTGTGTGTCTGTGCGTGTGTGTGTCTGTGTGTGTGTGTGTGTCTGCGTGTGTGTGTCTGTGTGTGTGTGTCTGTGTGTGTATGTGTGTGTCTGTGTGTCTGTGTGTGTGTATCTGTGTGTGTGTGTGTGTGTCTGTGTGTGTGTCTGTGTGTGTGTGTGTCTGTGTGTGTGTGTGTGTCTGTCTGTGTGTGTGTGTGTGTCTGTGTGTGTGTGTGTGTGTGTCTGTCTGTGTGTGTGTGTGTGTCTGTGTGTGTGTCTGTGTGTCTGTGTGTGTATCTGTGTCTGTGTCTGTATCTGTGTCTCTGTGTGTGTGTGTCTGTGTGTGTGTCTGTGTGTCTGTGTGTGTGTCTGTGTGTCTGTGTCTGTGGGGGTGGGTGTGAGGGTGTGTGCACAGCCACACACAGGGATTTGAGAGCGTGCTCGGAAATGTGGGAACGTGAAGGGAAATTTCTCTCATTCGCTCCTTTGCTCCCAGGCAGGAAGTCAGGCTTTTAGATTGTTGTGTATTTCTGCAATAACTCAGTAGTAGTAATGGGCTAAATCAATTAATACCTCTGTGTTTTTTACAGCATCCAATAAATATTTCCACCTAACTCTCTTTTGATTTCTTTTTTTTTTTTTTCCTGAAAGCTGCAGAACAGAAGAAAGAACTCATATTTTCAGTGAACTCTAAGAATCTCTAATATTTTGGGAGGGTTCTGTTGAAACAATGATTGATATTAGAGATAATGCATGTTTGATTTGCCCTAGAAGCAGGAAATCCTTTTTAAAGCCCAGTTCCTAGAGGATATCTGGCTTAAAGTGCATGAATAGCTGCTTCTGGTATGCAAAGAATTACCTGTATGTATATAAAGTATGGCTTGGTACCATGTTGAATCAGGATCTTACTTTCCTAGAAACAATTTTAGCCAAGAGCATTTTACCTCATATCCAGGCATACTTACGTGAATACTTCCATCCCCCACCCTGCAACGGCTGTGAAGAGCCTTGGGCCCAGATCCCTGGCTGGGTTCATGGCACAGCCACTGTTCATCCCCAAGGAGCACGTAAGAACAATTATAAGAAGTCCTACTGCAATTGGTTCCAGGCCCTTCGGGACGCTGTTATTTTTAGTGTCAAAAATAGCAAATATAGCCAGAAGAAGAACAGCTGTTGACATCACCTGGCCAAGGCAAAGAAAAGAATATTAAGCAAGTATGTACAGATTCTTTCCAACAATGAAAAGAGGGGCTATGGTAGTTCTGTAGATTGGGGTGGCTTAGAGCTGGTATTTAGATTTATCCCGCTATACAGAGTAGAAAAATTTGGAAATCAGTGCCTCTCTGCTTCACAGTAATGAGAAGTTTTGATATCTGTGCTGAAAGACAGAGACAAGAAATGTGCTGAGGACATTTGAAAAAAGTAATCTGCAACAACCTGGTGTGGAAAGAACAGAGGATTAAAAAAGCATCTCCTCTGTGATGTCTGTTTTTCCATATTTTTCCCCTATCAATTTAACAGTTCTGTTTACTCAATTTTTGATAGTTCTGCTATGCCAATGCAATCAGTTACATTGATATAGAAGTATTTTACACGACTGTAGTTCATGCTGATAAATTAGACTAATTATGCACCTTCATATCCAGGTATTGCACACCATCAGAAGAAAAAGTGAAATCTACAGAGTCAAAACTGATCAGCTAAAAATTAGGAATTGCCCAAATTAATGTTGCACATATAAATGTAACATGAACTCTGTATTGCAAATGCTAATTGAGCTGATGAAGGAAATTTTCTTGGAATTGCTTAATGGAAGTGGAGCTCTGCTTAAATCAAATGCTTTGTAAATGTTGATTTTGCTAATAATTAACTTGATGGGAAAACAGAAGCTTCAGCGATGTCAAAACATTCAATTTCTATACTGATTTAAAGGAGTTTAAGTTTGGTTTTTTTAAAAATTATTTCTATTACATCTGTTTTGAGGTTTGTTTTAAAACACTCATGGGTGAAAACATCTTAGGGAAAAATCTGTTGACTGATCAAAGATTAGAACTGTCTTTCTTACAAAACTTCAAAATACTATTTGGGTTTTTTTGAAGCCAGATTGCACAACCTTTTACGTAAGGAATCCTGTGCTCAGGCAATCCCTGGTTTTTCATACCTTGCTTATGCAGTATTTATTTCATGCATGCCTGAAGACGATGGGTAAATTGTTTAGAAGTAGATAAAAGATATGAAACTTCATTTTTTCACTGTTGCATAAGTAGGATTACAGGATAAATAGCAAATACTACAAATCTATCTGCAAACAGAAGGTCAAAGAGGAGGCTTGCGGAAGCAGAAAACTCAGTTGTTCAGGCTGTCTTAAACTGTTGGCTTAAGCTTTACTTAAGGAATAATAGGTCCACAAAATGGGCCGGATTTTGATATAATGGGCATGACTCTGCTGAGGTTTATGGAGAAACACTGATGCTGAGGAAAACCTCTTTCATATATTGCATTGAAAACAGGTAGAGTGTAACAATTAAGATGATGAAAACAACAGTTCAGATGATGTGAAAAGAACAACCTGAAATTATCTTGCTTGTAAAATATTACTGAAAGGTAACCCCTCCAAAACAGCATTGCATTCTCATTGCTTTTTACACGGGGACATATGACTGAAACAGAAAGATTCAGAATGTTCCTTAGATCTATGTATTTTTTTACTGCTTGATTTTACAGATTTTAGTACATTTGACTTGCAGAATTAAGACAGCAAGTGCACTTACCTGATCTGCAAATCCGTTTATGAGGGACAGATATGGAGCTGGGTATGTTGCAAAGATATGTGCTGTTGCATTAGGTCCTGTGACTTCAAGTTTCCCATTGCTGTAATCCATAAAGGCATCTGTAGAAAACAGCCAGTGACTGCCTGCACTTCTCCACAGACCCTGGGTTTTCTAGGATTATATGATAAATCTGTGCACTTCTCAGCTGAAACTGATTTTTAAGGTCCTTTCCAACCCAAACCATTCTGTCATTCTGTGATCACTTTTTCTGGGAGCACAGTCAATGGATTTGGGGTGATGTACTCATCCTACCCTCCTGTCTCATCTCTCCTTCTGTGCCTTGAAGTACTCATTTTAGAAATCACAGCTTCCAGTATGGGGTTGGTTTCCCCCTGCCACTGCTTCAAACCCAGTGCCAAGGAGCATTTTCTGATTCTGAATACAGTTGCATTATTCTGTAAGAGTTGCTACATTTGGCAAGATGCCCCAAGAAGTGCCTAGTGTCCTAACTGGATAGTTGTGCATAACCAGCCACCAGGAATTACTCTATTCCATCTGACACCTGTGCAATTTTAGAAATAAATATTTAGAAATAAGAGGACACTGAGATGAATCACTCAGACAGACATGGAAAAAAAACTCTAATCCATTATTTTATTAGTGAATCCAGCGATAAGATGATACTTGTGAGCAAAGAAACAGCTCCCCATCTCCTGAAGCGAACAGAAAAATCTAATTCTCCTCGCTGCTGTGTTTTTTCTAGCTTTGCCTAAGGCACAACAAGGATGAAGAGAATGTTTGGTTGTTTATTTCGACCAGGCTCTCATTTGTAATGTTGAATTTTTTTTTTGCACTTAACTATTAGGAAAAAATACAAGGGTGAGCTCCCCTGTCTGTTTTACAACTGTTGAGTTTTCACTGGATGTCAATGAGTACAGTACAGAAGAGGTTTGAGATTTAATAATAACAAGAGGAGGGCAAAGTACTTGAGCAGAGGTAGAGACGTGACAAAATCCTGCACTCCTGAACATCAGGAAGATGTCCCCAACCCCAACCCCAGCCCTGTGTTCCCTATTTTGGTTCCCTACCCTTCTGCTGTCCTTTTAGCAGAACAGTGGTTCCACCTCCAAGACCATATGCATCCTGGCCACAGCTGTAATTCTGCCGTCAGATTTGAGGAAAACTCAAATTGAGATGAAAATCCTGTTCTGGAATCCCACAGTTTCCAAATTCTCACACTAACTTTAAAAAAAAAAAAAAAAAAAAAAGCAACTGCCAAACCCAAATCAATTAGGATGGTTCCTAAAGATTTTTCTCCTCGGGATTACTGTGGGTACTGAGCCCTGAGCTGACAAATAATGGGTATTTCCATTTGTATTTTCCCTCTGTTGCACCTTGACCCAGCATTGTTTGCAGACATTATGCCCATGAGAGAGGCTTTGGAGGAGATGGGCTGGGCCAGTAGAAGCAAAGTTTTGGAGTAGGGGATTAAATAAATGATCTGACTGAATGGATTAATCCAGTCAGTCAGTCTGTTACTAAGTTTTTTCTTTTTGTGGCACACTGTGGGAAAAAAAGGTGCCTCAAGGAAAGGGGTAATCTTTTTCCTTTTTCCCTTTCTAATATGTGACCTCTTTATCACTCTACCTGGAGTTCATTGCCTTGGAGAGCCATCTCTCTAGGGTGGTCTGAAGTTTGGTCAGGAGGGACTTGATCTCATATCCTGTACCCTCAATGAATGATGTTGGTGATATTTGCCTACAGGCACTTGTAGCAGGTCTTTAATGTTTCTAATTTGTTTGGAAGATGGATAGCCCTATATCCTGGCTATTAAGTAATTTAAAATCCTTACTGAGAAATACATGATCTCAGAGTATCTGATTTCCCACAAATAATTTTTCTAAATATCAGAACATTTCCTGGGATATTAGTGTTTCAGTACATCTATAGGATACTTGGAATGTTTAAGCCATTGTTCTTCCCTTCAAACTCTTTATGCTTCTCCCTTTCTTCTTTATGATTTTAGCTTCAGTCCTGCCATTAGCCCTGTCTGAATAAGAGTCCTCTTCCTGCTTGACATTCGTTGAGATACTGGGGCCTTAGAGACTGCCTGACCTCCAGTTTGTCCTGTGAACATGTCTAAGGTGTACTCACCATAATAAATCCCAAAGACAGCCGCTGCTCCAACAAATGCTCCCAGGAGTTGTGCTAATATGTAAATTGGTAATTTGGTCCATTTTAATCTTCCAGTCACGCACATAGCTAATGAAACAGCTGGGTTTATGTGACCACCTGAAAAATAAATCACAAAATAAGTCCCGTGGATGAGTCAGATACATGAGAATAGGTGAAGGATTTGTAAAAATGTAGGCACTTTTGAGTACATGCTTTTCTAGATATTATTCTTCACTTAAATATTGACTGCAATTAAACTGAAACAACCTGGATGAAATTAGAGGAGGGAGGGCTAAAGCCGCCAAGCTCCATCTTTGTTCTTGATGTTTGTGGACTGTGGTGTTCATTAGACTGCTGTCCTGCAGCCTGTAATCTATAAATCTTCAGACAACTTTTCTAGAAAAACCCTAAATCTGCCTATCAGTTGTGAGGGGAGGGTACCTCATTCTGAACATATTCTCTCTTCTTGAGGCCTTTGGTTTTGTATTTTTAGGGTAGGATTGGGGTAGCAGAACATTAATTTAGTTTCACAAGAGTGTATTATGATTAAATACCATCACTGGCTTGATCATGCATCTTGAGGCAGATCTGGAGTACCCGGGATTTAAGTCATGGTTATGACCCTGTCTTCAGCCTGTGGTTACTCAGGTACTCAGTGTTCATGAACACAAAATAAAATAACGTTAGGGCTGTCCAGCTTCCTACTGGCTGTTGGTCAGCTCTGTCTCCATGGGATCTGGGGACAGCAGTGCATAGTTCTTCATCACAAGCTTTCATCAAGTCCTTGCGCTCTCCAGGAAGGTCCACGATAAGGACACTGATAAAGTAGCTGTGCTGAAACACAGAGTTCTATTTCCTGTGGAACTGCCTTGCTTTTTATCCAGGAGTAGCTACACCTGAACTCAGACATGAAAAAGATTTAAGTTACAATGGAATTCCTTGTGATAATTTTAGTTTTTAAAATATATTTATTATGTCACATGATATTCACTTCCCTCAAAACTTTTTATCAACATGGGAAAAAAGTGTTGGAAAACTTTATTGTTTACAAATATGTAGTTGCTCCTTAAGAAACACAAATAGGCAAATAACTAAACCGATGACAAAGTACTCCACAGTAAAAATACTGCAAGGACATAGCATTCATTGCTTATCTTCCAGGTAAAGTTCCTTTCAGCCTGGATGGATATCAGAAAAAATGGCTCTTGTCTTTGGTAAAAAAACCTGAAAGAGCATGTCCCTTATCTGTCAAAGGTTAGTGATGGAGAAAGGGACTCTATGTACAGTTTCTGTGTTTGTTTGCACTTCAGTGAGTCATTATCTTATGAAATCCAGGCACCTTTGATACATAATGAACTGACAAACACAGATAACAAGTTGGATAAAACCTTCTTTGTGCCATTTCCAAAACTCTGGCCTAGTAGCACCAGTCTTGAATTAATTTTGAATTCCTCACCGTGTTTCAAATTCTTCAGCACAGAAAAAATAGATAGATGGCACCTTGTTTAACAGCCCTTCATGTGAATTTTGATTAATTGTTGTCTTGTCTTTTGTTCCTTACTCAGGCTGGAATGAATAATTTTTGTTTCTTTCAACACCTAATATTGTTCCCCACCTGTATATAATACAGGGTGATTATGATGGCCAGGACAAGTCATAATAATATTAGCGATGGCAGATTAACATGAAATCTGGAAAGGAAAAGTCTGACACAAGAGAGTTAAAAGATTCTTGGTTCTTGTACCACTGCTAGTGTCCTGATTTAAAAAAAAAAAAAAAAAAAAAAACAAAACCACAAAAAAACCCTCCACTTTGGACAGTGTGTTCTCCATTCTTTCGTAGTTGCAGTGATCACAGTCATGAGTTTGAAATGTCACATTGGAAAAAATAGTGGGAAATTATCTAGATATTGAGAAAAATTAGATGGAGAAAAAGTAAAAAGGGGAATTTTCCTAAGTAAAAAGCTAAAATTGACCAAACATGCAAACTGTACTTTTTGTTACCATGAATTTAGAATTTTGTAAAGAGCTGATGCAAAATATTTTAGCAGTATACTTAAACGTGAGACTTCATGGCCAAAGAGCTACAGAAATTACTAACAAATTTTATATTAGGAACTGGTATTCTGAAGTGTTCACATAGTGATCATATGTTGGATAATCACAGCCTGTTGAAATATGTGTTCCTATTCCTTCACAGAGAAAGTGCACTGTGTGCAGAATCCTTTGTCATGGGAGAAACACAGGAAGCACAATCCCACAACATCTGCAACTGCTCTGCCCTGCTGGGATTGAACTCTAATTTTCTACATAATAATGGAGATGAATATTCCTTAAAGATGCAAATGTAGGACAAGGCTTTACAGGTTTGTTTTCATGCTACTGCATTAGAAGAGTTTACCTGCCTACATGTAAACCAAGAGCTGTAGTTTAACGTTGTTCAGATAAGAAGACTGTGCTGTTGAATTAACTTTGTGTGGTATTAAGGCACAGTTCTGTTTTGTTTCAATGACAGTAACAAGATTGCCTGTTTTGTAGAACTTTGAGCACTTTCTGATGGGAACTTGAAAACCTCGTCATGCCTCTCTAAAAGTATTTGTAAAAGAGAAAAGAAATGTCCCCAGTAATTTCTGCTACAGCAACTGTTTATAATGGCCTAGTTATACCTACAGAAATTTGTCCAGACCAACTTTATCCTCTTTATGAAGGGTAAGAAATGTTTTTATGAGAACTGGAGCACCAGGGCACCATTTTCTTTAAGACGTCAATATAAACTCTGCATACAACATGAAGTATTGTGTATTATAATGCACAACACTGTTTGTTGTTACAGCCCATCATTTTCTATCTTAAAGGGAGAACTTAAATTTTAAAAGCAGTTATGCTAATGTATCTGATATTAGTTTGTCCAAACTCGATGGAAATAGGAGAGGGGGCAGCATCCCATATGGCATGTGTAGACACTTGTTAGTTAGCCCAGCTACAGGCAAAAGAGAGATTTCTGACCGATGCATGTTGAGGAAGAGCAGAAACAAAGGCTCAGTGACAGTACATGGACAGTGTATCACTGAATGTGTTTCTTGTACTGAATCTTTTTGCTGTTTCTGCAATAGCAGGCTTGCTATTGCCTGTCATCGGACATGAGAAGACAAACTGCACTCTGCAAGGTGAACCCTGCTCATCACACCCAGTAGTGGGCCATTCTGCCTTCTAGGTAGTTGGCCACCATTTTATCTGGTGACTGCTGGATTGCTTTTCACACTTAATTCTTCAAACACCGTGCCTGTGCTGTCCAGCATCATTTCCACAGACAGAATTTTCAAAGTAACACCAAGCAGATTTGTGGTTTGCACAGAATACTTTCTGCAAAAGCCAGAGGTCTGCCAAGGCTTGCACACTGTAGTTCAGACCAGAATTTGGTGGAAGATTTCATCAAACACAAAGAATAGGAGGAAACAATATAAAGGATTTACAAGCAAAATGCTGACATGACTCTGCTACAATAGAGCTTACTGTTGCATTGTTTATACCATGGAATGGAAGTACTTTAACAAGGGAGCCTTAAAACTGTAGCAATAAATGCTATATGAGAAAACAAGTCACTTACCAGAAACACCCCCAGTGACATACACTGCTACGGTCACTGCCATTGCAAATCCAATGGACACTGTCATGGGCCCACCGTGGACTCCTCGGCTGAGGACAGCCTGTCCCACACACCCACACCCCAGGGCCTGTGTTTTGAAAGAGAAATGTAAAATCACCAGTGTGTCTGCCAAATGTTATTGGTTAGTTTGCAGCTTCTGCTGCTGTCCTGGGATAGCTGCAAACACTGTTGTATATTGAAGCAGTGCTAGAATTTGAGATTACTGGCATGTGTGCCATTGTTGCCTTTGCTGCAATGCACATTTGCTTTTTATTTTCCCTGGCTCTGTCACAAGAAAGAATGTTTGCTAATGAGGACTTCTCTCCCCACAGAAAACAGTTTTCCAGTACAATGATGGAATACAGATCAGAACTTGGAGCATAAACAAGATCTCACAGCCTCTACACCAAAACTCTGCATCTGAAAGTGAAGAGGGAGTTAATTCTGTAGGGTAAGTTTTCAGTTATAGATTGTTGTTATAAGCAACGAAAAAATTACTATAAAAGTTGTGAAAGATAGTTCAAAAAGCTTTTAATGTTTGTTGCTGAAACTCTGGAATGGGACAACTTTCTGGCGATTACAGTGTATGTTATTGTTATGCTGACTTTGTATCACATATCACAAATCAAAATATTTCACTGGCTCTGCAGCTGAAGTGGGGATATCTGAATAATCCACATTGGAGAATTCTAAGTGAATTTAAACTAGCTTCCATTTTATGTTGGTTCCCCTCAGAATGAAGTTCAGCAACACATTTAAATATTTGCTTAAAAGGACGTTTATTCAGTTCTAAAACATCTGCTTAGCTTCCAGCATATGTTTAGGTCCTATTAAATTTGATAGGAAAGATATTCAAAGATACAAAAGGCCTTTAGTTTGAGATAGACTAGCTGATCCATTTCTGTGTCCTTTAAAATCTGCTTTTTAAATATATGCATAAGTGCTTTGCTGAACAAGGATGGAAGCTGTATGGAAGCTATCAAATGATGTCTATAGTCTGAAAGCTTTTTCTTCTCTGCAGCTGTAACTGATGTGAATCTTACCACTTCTGGGATGTGACTAGATTTATCTTGAGCAAACTTAATTGCTTATTTTCACTTGCAAGGCAGCTGCATTCAGAACCTGTAAAGTAATGGCAAAATCTCTCCTGCCTTAGGAATAGACTGTACCAGAAAGATTTGGTGATTGAGTTTTAATTAGCAAGTCCTACTAGAATGGATGCAATTTAAAACAGGCAAAATCATACTTTTGTTTCCATTATTTCCCCAAGGGGGTTTAGCTAACACCAAAATGTGACAGAAAAGCTCTCAACCTCTTAACCAGCTTAGTAATGCAGACAGCTTTTCTGTTATAAGTGCCCCGAGACTGTGTCATACACCCAGGTGCAGTTCTTGCCTTAAGGTCATAATCATGTTAGCAAACAAAACATGGTCTGGTGCCAAAGTGTGACAGCTCTGGGTTTACGTAAGGGTAGGGTGGTGTTAGATAGCTGCAGTTTATTGGACTGGATAATTGAAAGCTCCAAGACACATCGCAGGCTACAGTCAGACTCTGCAGTGGATGACACACACTTACATTAGGAGTGCTCTCATTGCCCCATCCTATACCCAGCAATGCAAAGGGTAAGCACAGATGCACACACAGATAGCAAACCAGGACAAAACACAATGGAGTTGTTCACAGTTGCAATTACAAGGTTTTTTTAAAACTTCATATGAGACGATTCTATTCATAATACATTTATGTGTTTAATACGGAAAGAAGGGTTATGCTGAAATTCATTAAGTTTGAGATGAGGGCATGAGTCTAGAGGAGCTGGAATTAGACTTCTCAATGGGAGTCATCCAGAATTTCCCCAAGTAAGATTTTACGAAAGACATGGCTCAGATGGGGAGCGAGTTCAGTAGGCTGCTCTGGGCTCCCGTGTACACTGCGGTGGAGGTTACGTTCAGGAAACCAGATTGATCTGCAAGTGTGCTGGAAAAGTTTTGCAAAAAAAATTCTTTTGAGAATATTAATTTGAATATTATTTTGAGAATATTAACCTGGTCTGGTCAAAGAGAACAGGAGTAGAGGAGATGGTTATAGAGAAAAATAAGGGACAGTAACAACATCTGCATATACCAACTACAAATGCTCAAGAGGAGGGAAGGAAATAACAGAGAGAGGCTGTGGTCTCCCTTCCCCGATTACCAGAACTGAAGAGAATCACACAGAAACAGCTGTGTAATCCTCTTGCATAGGAGGTTCTGCTCTGCATGTCGTAGGGAAGCACACAAGTACAGATGCTCCCTCTCTGTGCTCAGCAGCCTCAGGAGGAGACAGACAAGCCAGCTGGGACACAGCTGCACTCAGTGCACCTTGGGACATGACTGCCTGTGCATGTACAGTGAATGAACCACTGCAAGCACAGTCAGTGTGTGCCCATTCAGGGGTGGGAAAACAGGGAACTGAACCTGTAAATCTGAACCATCCTACAGTAATAATTTCTCCATTTGCTCACCTTCTAAGAAGGAGAGAAAAAAGTCTCACGCCTTCTGCAGCTAGGTTGGTACAACTGGAAACTATCACCTAATCATGTAATTAGGTGAGCAGCAATTTAATACCCTGGTGAGTCTTTGCTTGACTGAGTTAAGACCAACTAGATCATCAAGTTGTAACTAAATATTCCAGCATTTTAGGCCAAGCTCAGCCATCATTTGCACCCACAAAACTCATACATTGAACCACACAAAGTTAATGGGAATTTAATTTATAGTAGAATATAACAATGTCTCTTTATCTTATCTTGTAAGTCTTATGTTACCAGGTTTTCCTCTTAGCAGTTGTCTATAGCCTGATCTGCTTAAATTTATTGGAGTAGATTCAGCACTGACTTTTTATGCTCACAAAGTAATTAGATTATTGTCATAAAGAACGTGTTTGGGTGTGGAAGAGCTGTCTGCACCTTCTCTGCCAAAAAAAATTGCTTCATAGACATTAGATCCTTGTCTTTCTTTTAGATAACAAGGCTAATGTTAGGAAAGGAAAACAATTGGCCTCCAATGAGCATAAGGTCCTATTACTCCCTGGAAGCTTTCAGGACTTTCTGTATTCTACTCACCAGACTGAAGATCTGTACAATTTTCAGGATTTTTTCAGATGCTTATAATAGCATTTTTCACTGAAAAGGTAATTTCCTGCAGTATGTGAATCCAGAATTTTAGGGAATCCATTTTTCTACACGGAAAGCTTTAGGTATCTTAAAGCAAAATGCTTATACACAAGAGCTACCTCCTTGTCAGAACCCTAGAGGTCATGTGCATTCATAGCCAGACACTTCACCTGTCCCATTAAAGAAGCAGCCAAGTGTCCTGCTTTTCAGCAGAGTGGAGACAATGACATGGGCGTTGTCACACCTTTTACATCACCAGCACCAAGCTGTGGTGAGTCACATACCTCCAGCAGGGTACCACGGGTGTCCCTGCAGGCAGACTGTGGCCTCAGCGGCTGCACAGCTGATGATGCTGTGCATGAGTATACGTGCTACAAGGAATGCAGAGTCAGCAGTTGCAAAAAATATTAGTTTTTTTAATTATAAATTGCACATTCAGGAAATGCTAGAAAAACAGTTCAGAATTTTCTAGTTTAGTCAGTTTTCAGGACAGAGTCATACTTCAGTAAGAGCTAGTTATGAAGAATCTCCAAGGATCCCTCCACCAAAGGACAACTCTCTGTAAGGCTGCCTTTGTTCAGGTGAGGCAGCAGCCCTGCCCTTTTGCCGTGCCACGCTTCCACCCCTGTTCTCCCACTATTCCTCAGACAGGCATTTCCTGCTAGCCCAGGACTTGTCCTCTCCTGTTTTCCAGACTGGACAGGCCTGCAGCGCTGCTCTGGATTGTGCCAAGTGTGCATTTGTTCGTGCCCAGAGCTGTGCAGGGGACAGACTCTGGGGCAGTGCAGGGTTAGGCTCAGGTTGTCCTTGCAGTGAGTGTCCTGCTATCCTAAAGCTGCCCATTCCAAATCTGGGGGAGCAGAGTGATATTCTTGGATACCTCAGGACATGAGAGGAAGCCCTGGTATTTCACTTCTTAGGGAAATCTCCATGATTTCTTCAAGCAGCCAGACTTAGCACTGCATGTTTAGGCCCTTAAAAGCAGGGATATAGGCTGGAAGAGTCTAAGAATCCTCTGGGATTTGGGAAAAGTAGTTACATTTGCACTTCCCTGTCGGCAGGGATCTCTTAGACCAAAATTACTCGTGAAAACATTACAGGGTTGGACGTGGATGTGCCTTGTGTAGTCCCCTCTGCCCAACACTAATATTTCTATATAGAATTAGTTACTTATAAAAGTAGTAAATAAACCTTTCCAGTTTAAAAGGCTCTGAGTGCTAAATTGATGGTGTCCTCCTAAAGGTCTTTAACTATTTTAGAATACTTTCATTCCCACCCCCTTCATTTACAAAACAAATCTGCTTAAGAATTTATCTATGGCATTTCATAATAAGGTGTTTTATAACACATTAAAAACTCATTCTACACAGAGTCATATTTTTGCTATGTTTCTGTGTTATGTAGGGTCTTAATTTGGGTGTGGCTCCTAAGCATTCTTTCAATAGGGACAGTAATTCTAACAGCAACAAAAGCAGAGATGTTACAGCTTCTAAAAGTCAGGGCATTAGCTCTGCAAGAATTCAAGTTGCAGGAAACTCCTATTGTTTCAGGCAAGAACAATCTTCATCTAGTTTAATGTTTAATATTTTCTATCTTTTGTTAAATCAGACAGTACTTAAGCTTTTAAAAGTGAGATAAAAATACAACTTACCTGTCAAAGTAAGTCTTATATACTTTAAAAGCACGTGGCTCTTATTTTATCATTAATGAAATGTTTTGATGGGGATGGGGAGGACTTCTGTACATTACAATTTAATCAAGCTTAGAGTAATAAAAGATCACTATCTGTTCTCCTGGTGATCTCCTGGGACACAACCAATATCCTCTGGGGTTCAGATGGATTTCCTTTCATTTCTTTTCAGACTTGATACCTAGTAAATAAGGGATGGAAAACCCCCCACCCTTATCATTTAGTTAATTAAATAGTATAGAAA